CAAAAATACATGCAGTTAACTTCTTACGCCCACCAGTCAGATGACCACTGAACAGCCGTCTCCTGTCAGCTGCTATTAGCTGAGCTTGTCTTCCCTTCCATTTTCACAGAAACTTCTCTACTGCTACTGCTGGTAAAGAGTGTGGCTGCTCACCTCACCAAGCACTGGGTGATGGTGACAGCAAAATAAAGCAGAAATGTTCCTACTGAACTCCACCCCAGCACTGGTTTCCTGATAGATAGCATCTCAGGGCCTGTCTGAATCTTCTCACTCTCCTCTACACCTTCTTCCTGCTCCTGTAGGGAAACGTAGGAGACTGGCTGTATCTAAATTTTCACTTGGAAGACAGAACAGTTATCAACCACATGCTTGTCTTATTCTGTAAGGTATAAACTCAAATAAGAAAAGAAAGTCTTCTTTGTAAGAAGAGACAATAAAGACCCAAAATACGTCAAAAGGCCTAAGGAAAGAAGTAGGAATAAGCCTGAGCAAAAGAATCTATTTTTCAAACAAGATCTCACAGCAGGGTTCTTAACAGTTTTTTGTGTGTCTTGAACTCTGGTAATCAGATGAAGCCTGTGGAACCATTCTCAGAACTGGTTTCTCACAAAAGAAACCAATTATATTGAAATATAATTATCAAGATATAAAGTAATCCCTGAGATATAGTACCATATGCGCTGCTTTATTAATGCATGAAATAGCACTAGCTAGCAGTAGGTATAATTAATAACGTAATTTCTAAGCAACGATAAGCACAATTTTTCAAGATACCTGCAACAAATGTGATATGAAAAATCAATGATTTCCAGTAGTGAGAAAGACACAACAGATGCTGCTTATATTACAGTCATTTGTTGCCTATATTTAATTGAAGGAATGCTAAATATCATTGAGACGTTAAGTGAAAATAAAAATATAACTTTATTCTTATCCAAGTTTGCAGACCTCCCTGAATTTTCTCTGCAAACCCCAATACATAAAGCAGCTGGAGGTGCAGCTTCTCTGGCAGAAGCAGAAGCAAAAGGTGTGTGGCAGCACACCTGGCCTATCACTCTGGCCTGTCTTACCTCAACCCCATGCCCCGAGGCCCCTGGGAGAAAAGCCCTAGGGCTTCTTGGAAGATAGCTTGAAAAGCACTCATAAAGAAGTTTATTATCTAACCTGTTAAGAGTATCTATGTGAGAGCACACCCATGCCTATTTTTCCAACCTCCCCAGCTAAACTATGCATATTGTATGAAGTCCCTGGCTCAAGTCCTTTTTTTTGTTTTATTTTTTTCATTGTACATGTTTATGGGGTACAGTTGTTTCAATACATGCATAAATTGTATAATGATCTAATCAAAATAGTTAGTTAACATATCTATCACCTAAACAGTTAACATTTCTTTGTGGTTATAACATTCAAGATCCTCTTTTCTGGCTATCTTGAAACATACAATATTATTAGCTATTGTCACCCTACAGCACCAAAATTTATTCTTCCTATTTAACTGTAACTTTGTAACTTTGCACCAGTCTACCAATCTTGCCCTAGCCCCCATCCCTTTTCCTGCCTCTGGTAACTGCTATTCTGCTCTCTATTTCTCTCTATTTTACTTAACTAACCCATGATAATTTATGGAGTAAAATATGATATTTGGGTACATTCATAATGTGTGCAATGATAATATCAGGATGCTCAGTATATCCACCTCAAACATTTGTCATTTCTCTGTACCGGTTTAAGTCCTTATTTTATTTGTTTCCTACTTTTTGTTTTATTTTAGTTATGCTGTCTTGTTACAGCCCAACAGTCCTTAGTATACCTTGTTTTCCTGTTTCTTAGCTTTCATGTTTTGTTTATTTTACTTTAACCTTTCTACTGTTTTGATCACTTTTACTGTTTATTTTCCCTTTACACGCATAGAGTATTACTGAGTTTGCATTTTGGTTTTTGTCAGCCTATATAGTTTCTGGTATTCATTGCCTTAATCATCTTTAATGTTCACATTACTCTGGTTTACAGCATCACTTCCTTTCTCTTGGTGTTTTCGTGTTTTATTTATAAATAGCTGGGTAGAAGCTGATAATAGGATTCCACCTCCAACCCACCCTGGAATAGCCCACAGCCCAAATGAGAGTGTTTGGATGTTATTCTCCCTCCTGTTGTCTCAGTAGCAGCAACCTTTCTATCTCTCCTTAAAAGATCCTTGGTGACCTTTAATGTTGAAGTTCCTAAACTTTTAAAACTGTGTACTTCAGAGATTCAAAGGTTCAAATTCTCCCCCAGGCTGGGAGGATGCTAACAAGATAGCATGGGGTCAGCAGCAGCCTGAACTGCTGGATCTTGGAACTACTTATGTGTGCACCTGATACAGATGCTCAATTAGCTCACCACTCATCGTTCAAGGTTTCCTAACTTCTCTGGCTCTAGTACTCTTAACATAATCATTGGGGAGATTTGATTATGAGAAGATGAGATGTGGCAGCTACAATCTGCTAACAGAGACTGGGGTTTACAGGCTGTGGCAGGGAAGGAGTTGAGCCAATGCAAATGTCCTGCTGTGGGCCTTATGGGCTGGGGAATGAGGAATCTGAAAGCCAGGCCAGGATGAAGCTATTAATTGTCCAAGATTAAGAAGGAGCTTTTACATTTCCTCACTGGTGATTGTAAGGTTATTCTTAGATGTCTAAAGTCACTCCACAGGGATGTTAGGCATCACAACCACTGATGACCTAACTGGTCAAAATACCAAAGAGTGGTAGGTCCCTGGTCTCTACAGGATTAACATCCCTGATTTCAATTACTTGAGAGAAACTCCAAGAGTTCATAATTGTAACTTAATTTTGCTGAGGCATATGTATGTCTTGTATATTCTTTAAGGCTGGAAGGCATGAGTGAGACACTTAGCTAATGACTGAATGTCCATTATCTACATGTTGATGCAGCTTTGTAAAGTTCAACTCAGTCTCACACACACACAACAGTAATCTCATGAAGTCATAAAAATGTTTTTCTTTTAAAAAAAAAATAAGCTAAGAGCCAATTTTCTTGGTAATGGAAGGGAGGAAAAAGAATAGAACTAAAAAATGATCTGATAGCTAGAATATTTTTCATGAAAGCAAGAATGGGATGTCAAATCAAACAGTGGCTCAACTTTATCGTGGACAAGAGTCCTCTATATGATCTATATAGAAATGGAAATAGTGATTTTACGAAACTCTCATTAAGAGTCTAGGCCACACAAAACTGGACATCTTGTGAAAAATTTATCATAAAACTAGACATCATATGAAAAATTAAACCTTGAAGGACTCAAATTTCTCAGTTATACTTTAATGTATGAGGACAGGGACAGAGTCTAACTTATTTATCACTATATGCCCAAGACCTTGGACAGGGCCTGGGTACATAATAGGTGCCCAGTAAATACTTGTTGAATGCTGAATCACTGAAATCAATTATATGCTACAAAAGTCCTTATAAATTTGGGACACATTAATTCCAAGACTACGGCACTGTGTCTCACAGAATGGAATTTTAAGAAAGTTTCTATTTAGAAATTGGAACTATTTTTTGCATTTTGCCAGGAACAAAGCAAAAGAATGAAAACTGTCCAGATGCCAGCCCCAAAACACCCTTCACCATGGACAAAACTAATTACCAAAGCAGCCCTATGGCCAGTCCCAAAGAGTCACTAACAGAAGACAGGGCTTATTTGCATCAAGGGATACATTTATGTGTATTGTAATGAAGTGTAAGAGGGCACTTGCAATTATGATTTTAGGACTAAAAATTTAAACTTAGGACATTGTCAAAGGCAATCTCAGATTTAGAATAAATGTTTTTTAAGGTGTGGAATCTAGTCTACTTGAGATTTATATTTAAACAGAAAGCAACAAAAACGTGGTAGAATATATCCAATTCAGAAATAAAAAAAAAAAAAGAAGACTCATTACTATTTAGCAAAATAAAATAAAATAAAATTGAGTAAATTTTCACTAAGATAAGAGTAAGCTTTTAAAAAGGCACCTAGATGGAAATAACTAAAAATTCTCTTGATGAAAACAAAGCAAAATCAAACAGCAAACTCTAATGCAATGCTTACTGAAAGCATTTTAAATTTCAGTTTGAATCTAATACTTGGAACACAGGAATTTGAACAAATCATAAATCAGATTTTTAAAATTGAAATCTCAATAAAAAATGAGTTGTATGGTATCATTCTGAGAGATATATTTGATAGGTGAAAAATCAACTTAAGGATAAATCATAATTTATTTGACTAGTCTTTATTAACAAGCATTAGGTTATTCCAGTCTTTTGCCACTGTAGATAATGCTATACTAAACATACTTCTTTGTACACGAGTGAATATCTGCAGTTCACAATGAAATTGTTCGCAGCTGTGAGAAAGAATGAAATAAATGTGGTAATACAGACAACATTTTAAAAATAAAGTGGAAACTGAAAATAGGTGCTGAATAGTTCATACAGAGTATATTTCCATCTGTGTAAAAAAGGGAGAGAGTTTCACCTATCAGATTGGCAGAAAACCCAAAATATGAAAGTACCCCTTTGTTGACCAAATTGTAAAAACAGGGCTGTCTCATACATTACTAGTGGGAATGTAAACTAGTAAAACCTCAATGGAAAGCAATTTGGCAATCTAATTAAAATTACAAAAGTATATATTCATGAGAATTATGTGCAAAATTACATATGTACAAATTTATTAATAAATATATAACATTATATATGACAATCATACAAAAAAGAACCTTCAATAGTGAACTTATTTAAATAATATACTCATTAGAAATTAATATATTCATAGTATGGAATATGACACAGTTATAAAAAATGAGGAAACTATATACTCACATGGAAAGATCTCTACAACAAAAACTTAAAAAGCAAGGTGTGTAACATTACATATAATATATACCACCTTTTGTGTTAAAAAGGGGTGTGAAATATCACAGAGTCATAGCCAAATCAAATGGAAAACTTACTTGTAAAGGTAATACTCTGCATGGTCCACCTCTTCTCGAGATGAAATGTTGTCCACAAACTAAAAGACAGAAAAAAAACCCTTATTGAATACAAATTATGTTATATATTTGGCTTGGTTCACATACTGACCATAAAAAGGACAGAATACCCATTTTATTGGAACAATATTCATACTTTGTCAAACAATGTTCACATGGTACGGCCCCATCTTTGAAATCGTTTCATGCTAATGTAAGGAATATTTTCTATTTGTAAAACAACCTTGATCAGAAAAACTGACTAAAAGCCAAACAAGAACCTTGCCTTGCTGAGAATAAGAGGACAGATAGAGCTCCTACTACATTTATAACTAGTCATCACCCTTTATCTTGAAAGCCTGATATCTTCTCTATGTTCCAAGCTCCAAATACATGGCAAACATGGCTGAAAGGATGAAGACTCCAATGGCTGAAAAAATATTGCCCAGATCATAAAAATCTAAATTTAGAGAACTCAGTCTTGTAACCATTTTTCCTACTCTAAGTTATGCTATGAACTTATCAATCTATGATTCCTCTACCAACAAAGTCTCCCTCCAAACAATAAAATCCCTGAGTATGCTCCTTAACTACAGTTCAAATAAACAAACAGAAAGAATTATTCCAAGGATGGAGTAAAGAGTATAGACTAAGAGGCAAAAAAGGTAGAGTAAGATATAATGCAGGTTATGAATATAATTAAAACCTTATGAAGAGAGAGAGAATAAAAAGAGGGGGGAGGCTTTCTAATAATTCCTAAGACTTACTGCATGTTATGAATATAATTAAAACCTCATCAAAAGAGAGAGGAGAATAAAAAGAGGGAGACTTTCTAATAATGCCTAAGACTATGGATTTAAATTTAGAACTCCACTATGGGACGGATAAAATGTGGTTCAAACACTGGACCTGAGGTTGAGAACCAGCTCTCCTGATTGCTTGCTGTGTGGCATAAACAGATGGCACAGCCCCTGTGGGATTTAGTTGCTCCATCTGCATGTACAGAATAAAGGCACCTGCCTTGAAGAGTACGGGGCACCCATGAGAAAATGTATGTGAAAGCTCTTTAAACCTTGAAGTACTACCTAAGCAAATATCAGGTATTATGTATAGAATACAGAAGTTTTATCCATCATGTAAGAGATGAACAAGTGGCCTTTCAGTTCTCCTCCAATATGCCAATTATGAGTCTATAAAATTTAAGTCGTGACCAGTTAAATTGTATCCTACTGAAGAAAGGACCAGGATTAAAAAGGAAGATGATTTCTTTCCTTTCCCTCTTCTAGATTTAATAATACCTTGAATTTTACAATGCCATTAATTTCTACAAAAAGCTTTCATAACTAAGATCTCATTTCAGCATCACATCATCTCTGCAAGGAAGACACTGTTGTTCCCATACTAGAAATAAGAAAATTGAGGGGCCCTGTTGCCTAATATCACAAAGTGAATTCTTGATAAAGGTAAGGCCAGATATATTTGGGGAAGCAATAGAAAAGAATTTTGATTCCTGTATTTAAATCCCAATTTTTCCAATTATAAGCTGTGTGAACTTGGGAAAGTTATTAAACCATACTATGTTTTACATGGAAAAATGGAGAGAGGATGCTTATCTCATATGGCTGCTGTAAGAACAGAAATAATCTACGTTAAGAAACTAACACAATAAGTGGCATAGGTGTTCAGTAATGGTTACTGTCAATTACCTGATTCTGAGCCTAACATTATTCCTCTGTCTACTGCTTTGTAGCAATTTAACATTAATGTTAATATTCACCCCTTTATAGATTTTCTCTGCTACCAAAAACACTTCCCGTACTAACAAGTAAATATTATTGCTTTGAAGGACATATCAACATAAAAAAAAAAATCATGGTATCATACAGCAAAATATCATATCCTGAAAAAATTAAAATAAATCATATACAAAACAGTGATTACTAACAAGCCTGGTAAATTTATTACCTTTTATTTTGGCCAAAGAAATTTGCTTCTACACCATAAAATATCTATTAGTAACTACAAAAACATATCAGACTCTGGAAAAATATGACGGTGCTTCAAAAAGTTCATGGAAAAATAGAATCAAAAGAGAATATGAACCTTTCCATGAACTTTCTGAAGTACCATCATATTTCCTACGAAAAGTACTCTTTATCTACATAGCCTTGTCTATATAAAGAGACCTTCTTACTTTCTTCCTTCCTCTTCTTTGGAAATATAAATGTTTAAATTTTCTTACCCGTGATACTGTTAAAGAACTAACAGGCAACTTCCTGTCATATGTTTTATCCATTAAAGATGCGAGATCAGCTGTGAAGACAAAGAAGGAAAAAGAACTTTGTGAAACATACACATTTCTTTAGAAGAATTTAACAGATACAACTCCTGCCAGAAGGCTACCAACATTATGAAATCAGTATTAAAACAGATGCTCTTTCTTGCTCTTTTTAAAAAAACATTAAAGAGGATAAAGAAATATTAGTAACATTTTAAAAATGATTTAACTGAAATAAGTTACCAAAAATTTTTTAGCATACATTTAGCTTTTAAAAATAGATCAATAAATTATCTCTGGAAGGGGGCACAAGAAAGTGGGTGTTTGGTTGGTTGGTTGGTTTTTTAAGGAAGTTACTTTTGACAGACTTCAGGAAAAGAAATTAGATAATGGGAGACCAAGGGAAGGAGACTTTACATTGCTTACACATTTATTCCTTTTGCATTTTGAAATATATTAAATATATTAGCTATATATCAGGAAAACATATTAGCTATTCAAAAAATTAAAACACTGACATTTATCAAGTGACTTGTATACATTCCCTGAACAAATCAGAGAACAACTCTGGCTATACTTGATGATTTTTGGCCTGAACTATTCCTATTTTGGTTCCTTTTAGTAAAATATCCATAGCAATACTTGGTATTTGTGAGATTACACTTTTGTCTCAGAATCTAAAAAGATCTGAAATCCTATGCAACATACTCTACGAAATGTTTATTTCACATCTTGTCAATGCTTCTCACATTACAATGTTTCTTTTCCTTCTCTCACTTTCACTCTCAGCTCATGATTTTGTCTCATTTCACTGAGAAAACAGAAGTAACCAAGAGAACTTCATCCCCTAGCATCAAGACTATCAGGCTTATAGCCTATATACTCCGTCTTATATTCTGTTACAATGAATGAATGGTATTAAACAAACAACGCTACCCTGCCCTATAACTCTTATAGCTACTTCCTTTCTCTGCTCCTCTTAACAGCAAGACTCCTCCAGAGTCACCTCTGATATAACTGTTACTACTTCCTTAGCTCCCACTCTTCAATTCACTCAAATTAGATTGGTTTCCATCACTCCACTTGCACCAATAACACCTCCACATTGTTAAATTCAGTGGTTAATTCTCTGTCCTCATCTTACTTGACCTCTCAGTAGCATTTAATATACTTGACTCCTCTATCATTCATGAAATATTCTGTTGTTTTCTCTCTTTCTTGGGTTCCTTTGCAGGATCTCCTCTTCTTGACTTCTAAATGTTGCAATGTTTCAGTATGTCTCAGTAGCAGAATAAGTAGACTCTTTCCTTCACAGTCCCTAAGTGATCTCCTTCTCTTCCAAGTCTCTTTAATCATCATCTACAGATTGTTGACTTCACATGTATGTGCATATAGGCTGACCCTGACTTCTGCCTTTAAACTCCAGACTTATATTTCCATCTGCATAGGTGAAATCTCCATTTGGGTGCCTAATAGGCATCTAACATTTGCAAAAGAACAAAATTACTACAAATTTAGTTGAAGATTTCAGTTGGCTTTACTGTGATTCTAGAATCAGGCAACACATTATTCCATAAAATAGAATAAGTGTTCCCATGAGCCAATTAGAGGAGGTTGGCTTTATAGACAGAAAAAGACTAAAGAAAGCAGAAACAAAGAACAAAAAAGCAGATTGGCCATTTCAAAGTTACTTTCCTTGTAAGGTGGGGACAGGAAGACAGAACAATAGAAAAATAACATCAGGTTATTTCAGGCTCTCTCTTCTGTGTGAGGATTAAAACATAAGGAACTTCATTATCGTACCTATTGAAGATTTAAACTGGCCTGTTGGGAAAATTATTTGTTATCTTTCTCCTGACTTCTGGGAAGTGACATGGCACTTAGCAGTGGTGACTCCATCTTGATTTTTTAGCCTGGTCTTTTGGGGCATAGTGTAGGTAAGAACTTAGTCTAAAACAATGGGCTCCTATAATTTTTACTTAACACACTACATGTCTTAATTTCTCTTCCTCTCTGCACTTGCACTTGCTTTGCCCATCTCAATAAACAACCATTCTTGATCCCATTCTTTTTCACACTCTATAACCATTTTGTTAACAAATCCTATAGGCTATAGATTTGAAATATAAATATATATTTCTCATTACTGCCACTGCTAAGCCACCAGTATCTCTCACGTCCTGACCTTTCTTTAACTATTGCCCCTCACCCTTACAATCTAATTTCCACCCAGCAGTCTGAATGAGCTTTTAAAATGATAAATCAGATACTGCCATTCTCCTTTCATCAACCAGACAGTAATTTCCTACTACACTTAGAATAAAATCCAAAATACTTTCTAGGACCTACAAATCTGTTTTTTGTCTCTTACAGTAGAAGTAAAATCCATGAAGGCAAGGACTGAATTCACTGATATATCCTCAGTCTCTAGAACAGTTCCATAAAAGGTACTCAGTAAATATGTAAACAAATGAGTAAAATAAAGGAGGGAAAAAAAATAAGTAATTGGATTTCCAACGTTTTATTTTAACTCCTTGGTTGAAGAAGGAGACACTCAGAGACAATCAAGTAACAAGTATTTGTTGAAGACCTGTTGTTTTGCATTTATTCATTTTTTCCTCTCCTTTCCCTGGGGTAATGATCTCAGTGACTCAGTAGTGACCAGAGGAAAACAAATTTGCAAAACCTCTAAAACCGGATATGATATAAAAGTACTGTAATTTGCTTTCCTTATAACTATCTTAAAGGTGACTAAAAATGTAAAAAAAAAAAAAAATGACCAAAGAAGTCATTAAAACCCCTTATTGTTAAATCTACTTGTTCACAGATGCCAAGCAGATTTTCATAGTACCAAATCTTTATGATCACTTCATAATAGAGGCTCTGAGTTGAGATGACAGGCAATGTAAGGAATCACCTCTTTTTACTTAAAATTTATACTTTAACTTAAAAAAAAAACAGTATCATGACCTACTGGCCTAATTAAACTGGTGCACAGGCCCCCACTGCCTTGTGGGTTTCGCATAGGTGCACAATGTATAACCAAATACGGGACTGAGTTGGCTTCACTGATCACCTCTACAGTGTGGTAACTCAAGATTCCACTTGAATCCTCACAACAAGGCATCTTCAATCAAGTGAAATTGGCCGAGGCCTCAAAAAAAAAAAAAAAAAAAAAAAAGCAACAGCTGCAGAGCCGGCATCCGCTGGATAATATTTGCATATTTCAAATCAGAGAAAGGTTTGCTGCTAAATATACTATGTGACCAATCACCTCACATTAATAGCACTGGTGTGATGAATGAGGCAGAAAACTGCATAAGGCAGGGATGACCGAGAAAGCTGGGACAGCTGCGGTGTGCAGAGGAGCAACGCCACAGGATTCTGGACAGTGGGCTTCCAGTCAAAAGTCACACTTCATGTTTCAGTGAAGGGCCAGCAGATGCCCAGGTTTAGTTCAAAGGGATGTGCCAAAGAAGAAGCTTTTTTGCCCATTACTCAGCTTCTCAGGTGCACACACTGCTGCTGATGGTTGCAGACAACAAAGACCATATGGTGAAAATGGGTCTGAAATTTGAATTCTTCATTTAACAAAACTGTACCAACAATGTGGAAGTATGTCCAGAAAATGAAATGTCTACTAGTATAAAAGTGCCCTTCTAGTTTGAAGACAATGCCACTGATGATCTAAGGACATAAAAGATTTTGAGGACCCTGTGGTATTCGGAGTGTGGGAGTGTAATAGCACGCATACCTGGTTGAGGATCTGAATCACCTGAGGGGCTTTAGAACTTCAGATTCCTAGCATCTCACAGCTGAGGGATATTCTAATTCTGTAGGTTTGAGGAAAACCAGGTATCCAAAATTTTAAACAATGGCTCAAAGAGACTGTGGTGCAGCCATTCAAGCATTGGAATCATTTTTGTTTGGTACTACCATGGAAGGAACACAAAATAAGTCCTGGATGTTGCCTGTAAACTCAAAGAAGATATTAAACAAAAATCTGTTTCTGGAATAAGATGGATTAAATATTCTTTAAAAAATTCCCCCTACTATAAAAATAAAACAGCTAAATATTTTAAAAAATTTTTTTAAATATATGACTGAGCTTTCAGGAAGGTAAGATGTAACTGTCATATTTGTCAGAGGCCAAAGGCAAGAACTTGGAGTGTTAAAGTGAGTAATGAGGGTAGCAGTCTAAGAGCTTTGGTTCTGATGACTTCTGGGGGACTGAGGATAAGAACAAGACTTTTGTAAGATGAGAAGCTGCTTCAGACATCCACAGGTAAAGCCAGGACCACCTAGGGCTACACCTGTGGTGAGAAGGTAAACTAGAAAATAATGTACCCTACAAAGTCAACAGCAAGGACCATTGTTTCCTGAGGATTCTAAACTCACTAAGTCAGCACTCACACCTCTTTGGGGACTGAATTCATGCTTCCTATGTGATCCAAAATATACCAAGCTTAGAATTTTGTTTAAAGAGTTGATTTTACTACATAAAATTCTAAAAAATGCAAACTAATCTATAGTGACAAAAAAGCACATCAGCACTTGCCTGGGAATTTGGGGTGTGGTGCAGGAAGAGGAAAGAGGGAAGAATTACGAAGGAAGAGGAGAAAACTTGGGACGGTGACAGATATGCTCATTATCTTGGCTGTAGCAATGATTTCATGGACATATACACCTGCACATATGTCAAAACATCAAATTGTACACTTTAAATACATGCAGTTTACTTTACATAAAAAAGATACCTCAAAGCTGTAAAAAAGAAACAAAAAATAAGTTAAAGGACAGATTAGACACAGCTGAGGTGAGAATTAGTGAACTGAAAGGTAGATCTAAAAGAAATTATACAGAATGCAGTAAAGATAAAAGTGAGAAGTATGACAGGAGTTATGCAATATAGAGAATAGAATAAGAAGGTCTAAAATACATTTAATTGAATCTCCAAAAGAAGATATAATAAAGAGAATGGGGAGAGGTAATACATGATGAGATAACAGCTGAGAATTTTTTAGAACTGATAAAA